TTTTTTTTTTTTTTTTTTAAGTAATTTTTTAATTTTACTGATTTTTTCAGAATTTCGATTAAAAGAAACTTCAGTAAAAATCCAAAAAAAAAGTATGTTGTACAACATTGCAATGCAAACAACTTTTGCCTGAGGGTCTTGGTGAAATTCCCAACCAAATTTGAGATACAAATAAAAACAATGGCGGTACTACAGGCTTCTGAAAAGTTGTACCCTAAAACTCTTTCTATAACGTACGTACGTTGTATTCGATTCGTATACAAGGTACATACGTTTTTTTCGGGTTAAGAAGGTAGCATCACCGGGGAGGCTCCATCTATTGGTGGGGAGCAGCACCTGCTGGAAATCGGGTCCAGCTATCCTGAACATTTGAATGGATTGTTTGGGCAGACGAGTAATGACAACAACTTGCAGGATCAACCTGTAGCGACTATCTCTAGCAGGTAGACCTACCCAGTAGCCTATGATGATTGCCTACATGTCAGTTTGGGATTTTTTTACAGAACAAATGAGAATGTCTGAGAACAGTGACCATGAGGCCTGCCAGCATTGATTGCCCTGCGACCCAGGGGATTGACTGAGCAGGCTTATACCGTGTACATCTGTCTTTAGCCGCTATCCCCCAGGTACCATTCCATCTCAACCAAAGCTAAAGGAGGGGGCGGGAACAATTTGCCACAATCTGAGAGGGGCCGGAGTGGGATAGCGGGGTCGATTTTTGTCCAATCCTGAAAGCATAGGTGGTAGTCCCTTTCCCCTTCCTCTACACCCTTCCCCCCCTTCTCCCCTCCCTTCCATGTTACCTTAGCAATCCAACCCCCTTGTTCCCCACCCAGCCAGTCTTTACAGAGCCTCTCGATGTGTTGTCTGATTTCCTGTTTAAAGTGTAGAGATGTGATCTTTTCTTTGAATCTTACCGATTGAATGGAAATGTCATTTTGTATTTGTTCTTTAATTGAATTGATGAATTCTGTTGCATCCCGGTGTACTCCTTCCATTTCAAGTGTGCACCGTCTCCACCAGATGGCCCAAATAACCACCCGGCGCCCTATTATAAACATATTTTCTTCGAAGGGAGTAGCTTGCTCTGGAGCCCATGCCTCACAGAGGAGCGCTCTCCAGTCCCAGGGCCACGGTTGTGAGGTGCCCAGTTGTCTCCATATGCGGTCCCACCACCTCCATAACCATATTGCTGTCGGGCACTGCAAAAACATGTGTTCTATGGTCTCAGGCCATTCCGAGCCGGGAAGGATGTTGCGCGTATCTTGCACCACGGGAGTGCCAAACCCTTTTGTTCTAGGCCCGTTCTATCTATCAGCCAGTCATTGGTCGGCGGGGAATGAAGCTAGCTAGCTTCGCTGGCATGGCCCTGCTCGCCTTAAACCATTTGACCGGTCGTAGTGTGTCTCTCCCCACGTTTAGACATTTCATCCAATGCGCCTATACCACGTCTTTCAGATTTGCTCTCGGATGCAGCATTCGGTAGGCAGCCTTGACTGAGACAGACTGAAGCCGCCTCAACCCGGACCTCCCCCTCCCATATTGTTGGGTTCATATCCACTCATCCGGGTCTAGCGGGAGCTCTTGAATTGGTTTGTTCGGTTTGTATGCCCGCCATTGGTCCTTTTCTTTGAGGACTCAAATACGGTATATTCCAGACCTCAGGTACCATGTTGTCTCTTCTGGCTTTGCCTGTTCTAGAACGTTGGTACAGTGGCAAAGAATAAAGAACCAATTGGATCTGTTTCACTCAGCCAAGGACATAACACAATCGATCCAGCAATTCTCAAGAGACTGGTTGGGCAGCGAGAACGGGGGCTGGATTGCCTCCGTCAGATGGGAAGGCCGACCTATCCAGGGGGACCACCAGGAAGTGTTTAGAAGGGACTACARTATTTGCTTCAAAGACTGGACAGAAGTAGGCCAGGAGTTCCYGCWGCGWCCAGCCACCGAGTTTCCGGATCCCTTCCCGCCCCATCAGTTAGCAATGGTAGACCTGCATTGGTATGGAACTGACGGTGCACTCTGATCTAAAGGTGGTGGAAAGACAAGAGCATGAGGCCTACGGTTTAAGGAACAGACAGTGGATACCACATTCAGCAGCAGATCTTTCAGTACACGAAGCAGGCAAGCATCTCCAGCTCTCAAGTCCGGATCAGACAGCAATGTAGCTGAGAGGAGTAAGCTAGCCTGTATACAAGTCTAGCACAGCAATGTAGCTGAGAGGAGTAAGCTTACAACAGTCAGAACCTAAGTCAAGTAGGCTAACTTAGGCAGGGGTGAGGGGCGGTATATCCTTCCCAAAGGAAGTAATCAATGCCGTCCACTCGGACCTCTCAACCGGAATGGGGAGGAGCGTGTGTGTGAGGTTATTGTATTCAGCTTTGACTTGCCGGGGGAATAGGAACTGGACTGTCGCTCCCCAGAATGGTAGGAGCCAGAACCGAGAGGTTCTGAAAAAAAAAAAAGAAAAAAAGAAAAAAAGAAAAAAAGAAAGAAAGAACGTTGTCTGTTTTTATTCTGAAAAGGCTGGCGATCACTTCCTGCTCCTCCCCCCTGCCGTCCTGGCGGGTATACACTACACTTCCAACCAACCCCTCGGAACCCCAGAACCCCACCCAATCTCCCTCCATCAGCACCGGCCCTTTCCTCAAGATTCGGATCCAGTCGAGAGGGATAGCAAAGATAATGGTCTTCAACGCCTCTCCCACTTTATGGCAGTACTTCAGTTTCTTCCTTAAGCGGGTCTCTGACAGCCAGTCTTTGGTTTCCTGGTCCCAGATATCTTTGACTAGAAGCACACCATTCTTAATCCAACCCTTCCAAGGATTTTCACTCTTATGAAAGACCCTATACTTTGGGGGCCTGTTACACATCGATTTCCGAACAGCGGTTGTCGGGCCACTTTTTCCCAACGCATTGGTGGGACTTTGTCGGGTAGGAGTAACTTACGCCATGTCCTCAGTATCGTGGCCCAAAGAGGGTCGTTCGTCAAGTCTTGCCTGGCCGCCTGTCTGTCTGACCCTCCCTCCACATTGGTCCAGGCCAGTTTTTGCAGCATGCTCCAATATCTGTCCTCAAGCCACGTCTCTGGCTCTACCTCAGGGGGTGCAGGTGGCGCTAACCTACCAATCTGCTGCAAGGCCAAGGGTTGCCATGGTGCCTGTGTGGAAAAGAGAAGACCTTTTACCCACTGAAGGGCCAGGGCCATCACTTGAGTGGCCGGGTTGATTATCCCTAGCCCTCCTTTGGTTTTTGGTTGTACGGCCAACTGCCAAGCCACTCTACTGATGGCCGTCGGGCACTCACGATTCCCCCTCCATAGGAAAGCAGCCACCTGCCTCTGGAGGGAAGTTGTCGCAGGTTTGCTGAGAGGCCACGTTGCTGTTTTATACCAGAGGGCAGCAAAAATTACGTTGTTGATTACTAGGGATCGACCCATTGAGGAAGTTTGCCGCTCCTTCCACTGGGTCAGTTTCTTTAGGACTGGTTGTGTGAGCCATTCAGCATTCAGGGGCGGCTTCCCCTCTGCTGTCATCTGGACCCCCAAGATTCTGATCTGGGGCTTCTGTGGGCATCCATCTAATATTAGACCTGTGGCCGTGGCTTCCAAGGGTTGCAGCCACGAAAAACACTAAAATAGCGAGTAGTAGGCCGCGATGCTTAGGGCAGCAGGGAAAAACACTCAAGTAGCGGTAGGCCGACCTTCTTCCCCCAAACATAATGCATATGTTGTACACGAATACAACGCATAGGATGTGTTCTATTCGGATACAGTGCATATACGTTCTATTCAAATAGCCCTATCTTTTTAATACAACGCATATGCATTGAATTGCATTCTATTCGAATTTTTTAAAAACTTGAATACAACGCATATGCGTATGCGTGATGTTCGGGGGAAAAAGGTAGCAGAACAGGACAAAAAGTTAGTATCTTTAGAGGGCCAGTAGCAGTAGGCCCAGGTCTAGGCAGGTACCAGTCCAAGTATCCTGAGTCTAGGGCCTGTGCGGACAATATCAGAGCGTGTTATGATGGGAGGAGCTACCGGTTGCTCGGAGGCCGTGCGACCTGGAGGTCACCAGCCCTGAGGCTGGCTGGCCGCTATATCTCCTGGAGGAGCGAGTAGCTCCTCATTTGCGGTATGCAAGTTTGGGCATCATGTTGCTTGAACGGGTGCTGGTACTCAGAGCGCTGCAGGGGAGGTAGAAGGAGAACTGGGCGCTCTGCCTGGCTATGGTGAGCAGCCCAGCTTGAGGAGGAGGACGAACGAGGCAAAGGAGGAGAGTGGTGAGTTACTACCTGGCTATGGTGGACGCCATCTCATCACCTTGTTAGGCGCTGCATCTGGAACGCCCCAGTTGGGGTAGCGCTGTACCAAGAAGGCTTTAAGGCAAAGTCAGGCATGGCAGCCTGACGAGCACCGGCCATAGCTGCTTTGCGTTGTCTTTTGCACGTCAGGGCAAGGCCCTTAGTAGTCCGCCATAGCCTAGGCCTGTGCAAAGTAGAAAAAGAGGGAGGCCGTGGCTCTGGTGGACCTCTTGTTGTGCTGGCAGTAAGAGGGAACTTCGGATATTGATTCTGGCTCAACCATTCACTGTTATTATTATTATTTGGTGGAAGATTGGTGGAGATAAGGAGGAGGAGGAGAATGGAGAGAGAAGGGGGGGGGTTGTCATTGGTCTTGCTGGTGTACATCTTCTTCTTCTTCTTTCTTTCTTTCTTCTTCCTTCTTCTTTGGTGTCTATCTCTTTGCAAGTGCTTTCATTGCTCTTGCAACTGGGTGGCATTGTCTTTCCTTGTGAATTTGCACTTCGGAATTAGCCAGGACCGTAACACACATAGATTGTCACATATCATATCAATCAGCTAAAAGACAGCACTTTGCGAAACAAACGATAAAATTACAGAAAAACTTTGAAAAAGTATGAAGCGCAGAAAAAAAAAAAAAAAAAAAAACAAGAAGAAAAGAGAGCACACTGAAGCCGTTCTTCTGATCATATGTACATTTGCATTTGTTTCACAAAGTGCACTGTTCTAGCTGAATAGACGTCTGTAGCAATGTATGTATGTGCACATACATGCACATACATGCACACACATTCACATGGCCGCCTTTGCGTGCATGCACAGACGCCTGGAGATCTGAGCTAGGGGCTACAGATGGTTTTTTTTTTTTTTTTTTTTTTTCTGAGTTGAAGTTGCTCGGACATCAAAGTAGGCATACATGTGCTCTGAGTGCTCTCCTTGGACTGGGTTACGACAGAAGCGTTTTCTGCGCTCTCGGCTGTGGCTCTCAGCTGTTCTACTATGTTTCTCACTCCTGTGGATGTGCATTGTCTGCCAAATCCATCCTTCCATCCACACACTCACCACCAAGTGGTACATACAAAGCAGTTGAAAGAACCAAGAAAGAGCATACTTTCTGGGCCCACAAATGTGGGACTCCGCAAATCTGGGACTCTTCAAAATGTCGGACGCCGCAAATCTGGGTACGCAAAGGAGATACTTTCTGAGACCACAAATGTGGGACTCCACAAACTTGGGATTCTTCAAATGTGGGACTGCTCAAATGTAGGAGGGGACTCCACAAATGTTGTACTGTTCGGATGTGAAGGAGCTGAGTACATGGTAATCTCCTGCTGCAGACAAACCTCAAGGAACCAATAAGATCAATCCATAACTGAGCACGCAAAGTATTTTTCCAAAAGTTGTTTTTTCCTGCTTGACTACTCTCCAATCCTCTCTCTCTTACACTATCTCACCATCAGCTCTGGAAAAGCGCCGCCGGATCTCCGTAGTGAGCCCTTTTACTGCAACCTGCGGCAATTGCCCTAACAAATGCAACCATTTCTCTGTACATACTACTTAGTACTCACTGCACATGATGCCAGACAAAAATGTGCACAGCCTCACAGTGGCAGCAGCAGCAGCACAAGGTGGACCATGTGTGTACTACCGTTGGACCAGGAAATCCAACCCATTATTATTTGAAAAAAGAGGCGGAGGATTTCGCCTGCACCGCCTATTCCCAGCTCCCCCTCAAAGGCTGGCCATCACTACCTTAGCAGCGTTGATGGTGAAGTCTATGTCCTCGTCCGTGTGGCAGAGTCCCGTAAACCCTGCCTCGTACTGAGATGGGGCCAAGTACACTCCCTGCTCCAGCATGCCTCTGTGGAATCTAGCAAATTTCTCCGTATCGCTCTTCTTCGCATCTTCGAAGTTGTGAACTGGCCCTTCACAAAAAAAGAACCCGAACATGCCCCTGATGGACCCTCCACAGGCAGCATGACCAGTCTCGCGTGCTGCCGACAACAGCCCCTCTACCAACCTGGATGTGATCTTGTCAAGGTATTCGTAGGTTCCTGGTTTACGAAGACGTTCCAGAGTCTTGATCCCAGCCATCATGGCCACAGGATTGCCGCTCAGTGTACCAGCCTGGTACATGGGACCAGCAGGAGCCACCATCTCCATGATCTCTCGCCGCCCGCCATAAGCACCAACGGGCAGACCACCACCAATGATCTTCCCGAGTGTTGTCAAATCGGGTGTCACGCCGAAGTATTCCTGAAACAAATCAAGCCAAAAGTATCACCACCATTACACCCAGCATTGCCATCAGCTCAGTAACATTATAAAATTAAATCTTCAAGTCGCTGGCCAAAGCAAAGCGAGCATCAAGAGACGAGACACCTAACGACCCGCCAGTTGCACCGACAACACTGTTGCAGATTCAGGGTAGGTTCCTAGCAGGCAAACCTGTAAACGAAAGTGGATCATGGACACCTCTAATGTGGGTCCTAAAAGGGAGGAGGGGGGGGGAAGGGGGGGGGTTAGAAAAGGGGTAGTTAGCTTGTAAATTCTCTGTGAAACACTGAAAAGAGGTTTTAGGCTGCCTTTAATTTCTATAATAAACCACCACTACCTTTTTCCATGTGGGCGGCCGTTGGGCCCACGAGCCTTTAGGAGGCCGAAGCAAAACGACGACCGCCAGTGAGATTTATTGACGGCAGCCATCGTCGGGCCCGGCCTCCGATTTAGTAGGAGTAGGATATTTTCCCGTTTTCCCAACAGCGGGAAAGGTAGTGGTGGTTTAAAAGAAAACAAAAACAAAAAACAAGGAGGACATGTTGTGAATGTGGATGGTGGTTTAGACAACACAAACTACCAATGTGCTAGAGCGGATGACGGGAAATTCCGGCTGTACTGTACCTGAGCGCCGCCATATGCAATTCGGAACCCAGTCATGACTTCATCAAAGACGAGGAGGATACTATTCTTTGTGGCCACTTCTCTCAGGCCTCGGAGGAATTCCATCTTTGGCGGAATGAATCCGGCATTTCCAACCACAGGTTCAAGGATGATGGCTGCAACCTGGTCCTTGTTGTTCTCCACAAGTGCCTCGACAGCTGCAAGATCGTTGTAGGGCGCAGTGAGAGTGGCAGCCGTAGATTCCTTGAGCACTCCCGGAGAGTCCGGTAGACCGAGAGTGGCTACACCACTGCCGGCTTTGACAAGGAAGGAGTCAGCGTGGCCGTGATAACACCCTTCAAACTTAATGATCTTCTCTCTCTTTGTGAAAGCCCTCGCCAACCGGAGCATCCCCATGCAGGCCTCTGTTCCTGAGTTCACAAATCGCACCATCTCAATGCTAGGCACAGCATCAATCACCGCCTTAGCAAGCACGTTCTCCAGATAGCAGGGAGCACCAAAGCTGGTGCCTTTCTTCAGAGTCTCGATCAGAGACTCGTTCACCTGAGAAAATGCGTAAATGCAAACATCCACACGATAGCAGAGACAAACATGTGAATCAGTCAATAAACCAAGTGAGCGCTAGTGTCATAGACAGTGCACAATGGTGTAACAGAAACAGGGGGAGAAGAAGAGCTAGGTGGAGTCAAAGAAGACAGATCAGGGGGGGGGCCAGGGGATGGGCGAGCAGGGGGAGGGGGCACGTGTGTGTGTGTGTGTGTGTGTGTGTGTGTGTGTGTGTGTGTGTGTGTG